ACTAGTTCCCCTACAGAAATACCATTACTGACTATAACATTGCAGTTAAAATGAATAAACTAGGGCCACATGTATCAACATGGATAGATCACAAAATTATAAGGTTAAACAAAAAAGCAAGGATATATATGGCTTGACAATATCTATACAGAGATTTATTATTATTTTTTTAAAAAATATTTTATTTATGTATTCATGAGAGACATAGAGAGGCAGAGACCTAGGCGGAGGAAGCAGGCTCCCTGGAGGGAGCCCGATGCGGGACTCTATCCCAGGACACCAAGATCACACCCAAAGCCAAAGGCAGATGCTCAACCACTGAGCCACCCAGGTGCCCCAATATACAGTTTTAAAAATGCAAGCAATACTGTGCACTTGTGGGACGCCTGGGTGGCTCGGCAGTTGAGCATCTGCCTTTGGCTCAGGGCACCATCCTGGAGTCCCGGGATGGAGTCCTATGTCGGGCTTCCTGCATGGAGCTTGCTTCTCCCTCTGCCTCTCTCTCTCTGTGTGCCTCTCATGAATAAATAAATAAATAAATCTTTAAAAAAAATACTGTGTGCTTATGCTGGTTACATGCTGTTGGCTTTTAATCCCACTCCAGTCTTTCTGTGCATTCTTCTGTATTCCAGGGGTTGGCAACCTGTGAACTACACATCACAGGCTCTGGTTAGGTTTTGCCAGTGCTATGCATTGACAGGAGAGTAGAAAACAGAAGAAAAGGAGAAGGCATTTCCCTCTGGTCTGGTTGTGCTTCCAGCAATGGCAGCAGCAGTGATAGTAGGTGACTGGAAACGAGCATTTCAGTGGTATCAGTGGCTATTTCTTAGCAGTGGCAGTGCCATCATGCGAGCAACCCAACAAGAAAGAAGCCAAGTGAATAGCTATTCTGATTCCATTCTCCTCTTCCCCTCAACCTCTTGCCAGTTCTTCCTATGAGCCAAAACCAATCAGAAGTCAGAAGTCAAGAGAGTCCAGTGAGGCATCTGTACAGCTTGGTCTTCTAAGCACAAAGATGGAGAACTGGGCAGCCTGGGTGGCTCAGTGGTTTAGTGCCACCTTCGGCCCAGGGCCTGATCCTGGAGACCTGGGATCGAGTCCCATGTCGGGCTCCCTGCATGGAGCCTGCTTCTCCCTCTGCCTGTCTCTCTCTCTCTCTCTCTCTCTCTCTCTCTGTGTGTGTGTGTGTGTGTCTCTCATGAATAAATAAATAAAAAACCTTAAAACAAAAGATGGAGAATTGATGTGGGGAGGCAAATGGATGAAGCTAAACATTATCCCATTTGCTTCTCCAGCCCTTTCTATACCTTTGTAATTCTTAGTATTTTTTTTATAATTTTTTTTTATTTATTTCTGATAGAGAGAGAGAGACAGAGACATAGGCAGAGGGAGAAGCAGGCAGAGGGAAGCAGCTCCATGCACTGGGAGCCCGACGTGGGATTCGATCCCGGGTCTCCAGGATCATGCCCTGGGCCAAAGGCAGGCGCCAAACCGCTGCGCCACCCAGGGATCCCTGTAATTCTTAGTATTAAATCTCCTTTGTGTGTAATACATAGAGTGGTTTCTATTTTCCTGACTGGACAGTAACTGATTCAGTCTAGTTTATGGATACCAACATATGTAGCAAAGGAACTATAATTTGCATAGGAATAATAAACTCCATACTCAAGATAATGGTTACTTCTCAACGGAAGAAAACAGAATGGCCCTGGAGATAAGTACACAGGCTGCATCCTCTGTCTGAAATATTTAATTTCTTAAGCTGGAAGCTGAATATATGGATACTTTTAATGTTATTCTCTATACTTGTTATATTATTCTCTATTTTTCATATGCCAGAACTATTCAGTCATCCTGATGATTACACATGTGTATATATATGAATAAGGTGGTGAATAAACAAAGAGATAAGACCTGACTCTGAATCCTGACTCTGGCATTTAATAGTTATTTGAGCTAGGATAAGCTACTTAAGTCTCTGTGTCTTTGCATCCTCAGCCATAAGGCTAAAGATAATAGTACATGCCTTACAGGACTACTGTGATGATTAAGAGGAAAAATGTATGTAAAAATGTCCTAGATGGTGCCTAATACGTGACAAGCCCTTAGGAAATCAGTTTCCTTTTCCTGAACTTTCAGAAAGAATAAGGCTTTGATTTTGATAAACTTTTAATTTCAACAATTATGCTGTGCCTCCAGGAGATGCTTTCTTTCTTTTGTTTTTAAAAGCCGTTTATGTTCCTTCTCTGATTAGAAGAGTGGTGGTTGTTCAATGTAGAAAATTTGAAAAATGCAGAAATATATAGGGATGAAAATAGAAATGCACTGTAATTCTGCCCCTTGTACACTGCTATAACTATATAAAATATTGAAATTAGAATACTATATAGTTCTGGGACATGGTTCTTTAATGTCACAATATAAGATAAATATTTTTCTGTACCAAATATTCTATGACATCCCTTCTGCTGGCTGTATATTATTCAAGTGGTTGGGATGTTTAGGTTTTTCTTTTTTTTTAAATTTATTTATTCATGAGAGACAGGGGGGGGGGGCAGAGATACAGGCAGAGGGAGAAGCAGGCTCCATGCAGGGAGCCCGACGTGGGACTCGACCCCGGGTCTCCAGGATCACACCCTGGGCCGAAGGCAGGCGCCAAACCGCTGAGCCACGCAGGGATCCCTGTTTAGGTTTTTCTAATATTAAACTATTACCTAACTAATGGTGCATTGAGCTTCCTTATTGATAAGTCTTTGTCCACATTTCTTACTATTTCTTTGGACAAAATAGTTGTGGAAATCTTAGTTAAACTGTATTTGTATGTGGGGCAACCTCAGCGGTTTAGTGCCGCCTTCAGCCTAGGATGTGATCCTGGAGACCGGGATCGAGTCCCACGTTGGGCTCCCTTTGTGGAGCCTGCTTCTCCCTCTGCTTGTCTCTGCCTCTCTCTCTGTGTCTCTCATGAATGGATAAATAAAATCTTTAAAAAAAAAAACTGTATGTGTATGTGATGACATCTTATGGCTATGGCTATTTTGCTTTCCAGAAAGACTATAAAGAAAGAAAGAGAGAAAGATTGTACCAATTTATACTACTTCTAGCAATGTTGGAGAGCACTACTTTTTCACATCAGGAAGGTACTTTTTTTATTTTTTTTTATTTTATTTTATTTATTTATTTATTTATTTATTTTTTAGGAAGGTACTTTTTAAAAGAGAAATAGGAACAGACATGGGATTGATAGTGGAATCTACAACAATAGATTCTAACTGGTTTGATATTTAAAGAATACCAGCAAAGTGCCAAATCTTCAACAGACCAGAGGACCTCCACGAGCCACTGAAATCTAATTTTAACAGGTTGCCATGCAGAGGGATTCCAGTCAAGCTTCTCAGTGTCAACTTCTATCTGGAATCAACTAAACAACTAAACATAGACACCAGTTAGATGTGATTTGGGAACCAGCTGATCTATGGGTTTTCTAAGTCTAGACCTGATAGAGATATAGCTGGAATATAATGCAAAACAAGTCAAGCACTCTGCTGCTGGCCAACGCCGGCAATTTCAATTTCTTATGTCTTGAACATTCAGCTCTAACCTTTCTCCTACCCCCAGTTTGAAGGGTCTAAGACCCACTCTGAAGTGGTTAAATGAAAAAAAAAAAAAAAGGAAGGTAGCAAAATGCATCAGCTAATAAGGGCTTCCACTCTTTGTTAATTAATTTCTGCAACTCTAACCCTCTGGCATCTGCCAGCTTCACTCTGTATTGGAGCCAATGAATTTCAAAAATAATTAAAGTTAATGAACTGCTCTTTGTGATAGGACCCTGAAAACTTAACAGCCATAATTAGTAGGAAGTGCAAAGTGGGGAAAGTGTCACTTGCTGATAAACAGAATTTCCTCATCTTGTTGATACAAGAGCCCTGCCCATATGTGAAAGTGATGCTCTATTGAGTCAAAGAAGATGTATGACTGGGTTTACAAATTGAAAGTGATTGAAGGACAAGTACTGATCTTGAAACGATCTCCCTAGGCTAACATCAGACCCCTCTCCCAAAGTTCCACAATTATTATATCAAAATGTGGGTAAGAATTCATGACAAAGTGTCCAGCAACCTGAGGGTGTCAGTCATCACAGCCGAAGTAGGGCATTGAACTTTCCATCCCTTAGTAACAAAAATAAACATGGGAATTTATGGGTGCTGAGAAGTCAAACATTAAATGAATGGTAGCTCTCTGAATTCAGTTCGGGAAGGATTTTTCAGTGTGAATTTCTTAAAAGCGAATGCAAATAGAGTCTGGACATAGTGGAAATGGCTCAGTGGCTGGAAAGAAGTGATAGATCTAAGGAGGTGGAACCTCACCCAAATGTGGGGTTCCCCCAAGGGATTATGCATATGCCTGCATTCTAAGATGATTTTATTTATTTATTTTTAAAGATTTTATTTTTAAGTCATCTCTACACCCAACTTGGGGCTTGAACTCACAACCTTGAGATCAAGAGTTGCATGCTCCACCCACTGAGCCAGCCAGGTGACCCAATAAGATGATTTTAGATGGTGAATGATCAAACATTTTTTTCCAGCTTAGTAGTTATGGATTAATTATAATTCATACATAAACCATTCCACTAGCACAGCAAAACCTTCATTCCACAAGGGTATACTTTATCTTTCAAAATAAATGTATTTAAGTTTTAAAAATGAGATGAGTTTAAAAATTAAATATGAATGTAGGTAGAATTTGGTTCTGCCAAAAACTGACGATTTGGAATGTGATGGAAAATTTCAAGGTAGCTATTTATAATCTTCCTCTTTGAGCTTTAAGATGTACATTTCATCAAATCTAAGAAAATTTTAATTATAAAATGAACCAATATTTTATGTACCATAAAGAATCAAAATGCTGCCAACTGAAATATGGCCCATGCTTTCTTAGCACTTAGAATTTTATTTTATGTTTAATGAAAGTTCTCTTTTAAACTTGCCAGTCAATTTTTTTTTAATATGGAACACTTCACAAATTTGCATGTCATCCTTGCTCTGGGACCATGCTAATCTTCTCTATCATTCCAATTTTAGTATATGTGCTGCAAAAGCAAGCAAGCACATTCACAATTTTTTTTTAGCACATATTACAGTGCTCTGTTTTTGTGCCTTCCTCCATGTATAGTAATTTTTCAATTCATAGTACAGTGTAATCATTGAAGATATTTTAATAATGAATCTCAAGTCCTGTGGTACTGACATTGTACATAACTCAGCTGAAGTGACAGCTGAGCACCTATGACCACATATTTGCATGTAGGGGCAATGGCACCTGCAACACTTTTTTGCTACATCTGATTTCAGAAGACTAAAAAAGGTGAAAAAACATGTGTCTTAGAATCAGTAACATACAATAACATCTTCTTCAAGGTTCTTCCTAAAGATCCCCAGGAATTGTTTCCTTTCTTGTGTCCTGGACTTCTTCCAGGAGCAGAGATCACCAACAAAGTTGAGGTCATTTAGAAAATCTTAGAGGAAATAATGAGTTGGATATCAGAATGCTGTGAGATTTCACACTATCCTATGCTACACAGGGTCTTGACTTGGTCACTAGCCGGGCTGGTGCAACTAGGCGACTTCCTCATGTAGCAAATCATCACACAGTTGTGATACATGTGCAAAATTCCCAATCAATTCAAGAGTAGAGCTTACGTAGAAATCACCTCGGCGGGATCCCTGGGTGGCACAGCGGTTTGGCGCCTGCCTTTGGCCCAGGGCGCGATCCTGGAGATCCGGGATCGAATTCCATGTCGGGCTCCTGGTGCATGGAGCCTGCTTCTCCCTCTGCCTGTGTCTCTGCCCTCTCTCTCTCTCTCTCTCTCTCTCTCTCTCTCTCTCTCTCTCTCTCTGACTATCATAAATAAATAAATAAATAAAAATTTAAGGAAAAAAAAAGAGAAATCACCTGGGCGCCTTCATTACCCACCATGCCTTGCACAAGACAGGTCATAGATCAAAGACAGCTGACAGGACAGCTAATTGTAGATAATTTACAAACTCATTCTTCAATATAATAATACTGATTTTTCAGTAGTGATATCCTCTAATAAATGCTCACCATGAGTAGCAGCATTATGAGGACTTTATCAGTCCAAGCACTGTTTCAACTGCTTTTCTTTTCTTTAAGATTTTATTTACTTATTCATGAGAGACACAAAGAGAGAGGCAGAGACACAGGGAGAGGGAGAAGCAGGTTCCATGCAGGGAGCCCGACCTGGGCCTCGATCCGGAGTCTCCAGGGTCACGCCCTGGGCTGAAGGCGGCGCCAAACCGCTGAGCCGCCCGGACTGCCCCCAATTGCTTTACTTTTCTCAACTAATTTACTAGTTAAGTAAACCCCAAATGTAGATACTTTTTTTTTAAATTTTATTTATTTATTTATGAGAGACACACAGAGAGAAGCAGAGACATAGGGGGAGGTTCTGAGAAGCAGGCTCCCTGTGGGGAGCCTGATGTGGACATGATCCCCCGACCCTGGGATCATGCCCTGAGCCAAAGGCAGACACTCAAACACTGAGCCATCCAGGCGTCCCAGTAGATACTGTTATTATCCTGAATTTACATGAGTAAACTGAGGCACGGCATTATCAATTAACTTGCCCAGGATCACACAGCTGTGAAATATCAGAGCCGGATTTGAACTTGGGCAATTTGGCTTAGCATTCATGTACTTAACCGTTATACTTTATTGCCTCTACCATATAATACTGAAAAGCTGTCATAAAAGAATAAAAAATAAGACTATTTAAATCTGCAGAAACTTAGTAAATGTGTAAGGTAAACCATGCTCTCCAGATTTTCAATAAACGTTTGTTTATTGATTGTTCAAAGAATGAGGCAGAAAGAAGTGCTCCACAGTATGTTAAAATTAACAGTAACAAAACCGGGATCCCTGGGTGGCGCAGCGGTTTGGCGCCTGCCTTTGGCCCAGGGCGCGATCCTGAAGACCCGGGATCGAATCCCACGTCGGGCTCCCGGTGCATGGAGCCTGCTTCTGCCTCTGTCTCTGCCTCTCTCTCTCTCTCTCTCTCTCTCTCTCTCTCTCTCTGTGTGTGTGTGTGTGTGTGACTGTCATAAATAAATAAAAATTAAAAAAAAAACAGTAACAAAACCCAGGTAATCAGTAAATGCACTAAAGAGGGATGGAAGACTGATCTTAAGACTGTGACCATGAAGTTGAGGCAAAATGTCAAACCAAGGCAAAAAGTTTCAGGCTCTCCAAAGAGCACCTACAGTGGATACATTGACTCAGCATGTAAAAGTCCCCACATGTGCCAGTTGATCATCAAGTTCAGGCCTTATTTTGCCCACACAAGCCCTGAGACAGTATCTGGAATTTAATGAACTACAACAATAAATTACCTTGAACTGAAATCAAGTATTACAAAGTCTTGTCATTGTCTGGATCCTGACAGGCTGTGGAGAGTACTGCGTTAGGAAAGCTAATTAAACCAAGGAATTGAATTTTTCTTTTTTAAAGAAATAGCCATTGGGTGTTAATCAGCTGTAAAGAAGAGAGCAGAAAGCCAAGGGGATCCATAAAAGAGCTTTGCCCTGTAAGCACAGTTGCCTCACCTCTGACCTCCATAACTGGGAAAGAATTTGGCTCTGGCAATATTCTTTGCGAAGTTAGCAGCTTGAATCACTGCCACCAGCAAATGAGTTTTCTCTACTCAGAATGAATTCTCCTGAACTGCTGAAACAAAGGTCTATGTTCCTGAATGGTTATTGTTTGGAAGATTGCTAGAGATACTGCAAACTCTGTCCCTTGTCCCCACCCCCTTGCCTGGAAGCTGCAAGTAGTGGTATTTAGCCTCTGGTCCTATGGAACAAAACTCGCAGAAAGGAGAAACTGGCTGGGCAAGTAGGTGATATGCCCAAGGTGAAATGTGAAAACTGCCTCCCAAATATGAGGACACGCATAAAATGTGCAGGTAATAAAAGAGGAGGGACTTATTTATTGTGCTACCTCTTACCTTTGAGATAACCCACATGATTAATGTGGGTTAGTGATTTCTGATTGTACCAGAAAGTGATATTTGGGGACAGGCAGCTGAATTCTACTGAGTCTGAAATCTTCTTGGAGTCAGCTGTAATGTATTACTGACCAGCTGCCACCTGGCCATCATATTCAGAAATTTCCATTTCTCTCATGTCAATAGTCTGGAGATCTTCACATTAAAATGTGACAAAATGTGATAATATACATTACTGTAAAAATGGATAGATGTTCTACTACAATTGCTGGTACTACTACTTCTATCACTACTCAAAACAATCTCTTGCCTTTTGTGGAAACATATTCCCACGTGTTTAGTTGGCTGGCCATAGCATTATATCACTTTCTCCAGCCCCAACGAAACCATTTAAGGCCCTGTTGCAAATCCTCATGCCATCGCCAGGTGTGGTCTAGTCACGTGGTTCTATCAAAACAACATATCACTTGGAAAAGTATTCCAACTCAACCATTCAGGTCATATCCCACTTGGTTGTTCTGACTCTGCATTCTAAGTATTTCAAATGAAATAACTCCTAGTCTGCTGAATGCTGGAAAATGGAGTCCTTTTGAAGAGATGAAACCCACGTCATTATATAAGTCACAATATTATTATAATATATTTATTTATTTCGGCAAGTGCAGTTTCTGGCTCAAAGTAAATATTCCATAAATATTTATCAAATAACTAAAGCGTAAATATGTGGTGGATATAGAATGCAGCTGGACATTTTGTATGCCTTCACCACCCCATGCTATCACTCACTGTCTCCTAGTCACTTTTTTCTACGTGATGGCTCCTGGACCTCTCTGTGTCCTGACCCCACGGTGACAACAGTAGGTCAAACAGGTTCACGTAGTTACCTGAGGGCTGCTTCAGTTGCCCCCACATCCTTAGGGGCGCAGGTTCTATATCTCCCTCCTCTCTGTGTCTGCAGCACCTGTTCCCTAGGCGTTGGGGGTGCAAGGTGGGCATGTGGGAGCACTTGCCAGCTCCAGACACTCCCAGAGGCCTTCCCTGGGGACTCCTTCTCTTCTGACTCCTTCATCTGTCACATCTCACTCAACTGTTACATTAAGGTGGTAGCAACGATGCCTACACAAGAGAGCCCAGAGATAGACCCAAAAAATGGACATGAGACATAGACAGTTTTGTAGAGAAAATACACAAATCTCCAAGAAAAAAAACCAAAGAGAACAAATCCCATTTGTTGCCAAAGAATTCAAAATTAAAAGGAATAGGATATACCTATCGGAAAGTCAAAAAATAGAAGGAATGAGAGAGAGGACGGGAAAAGACATTCTTATTGTTTGGGGAAGGTAAATTCACACAACTTACTGGAGGACAATGTGGAATGTGTATAAAATCCTTAAAAGAAAGATAATGTCGAATTCAGGAATTTCACTTCTAGGAATTTTCCAAAGGAAAAAGAAATTAAACAAGATGCCTGGGTCCACTTACATGTGTTTTTTTTTTTTTTTGAAAAATAGTACCATAAATGTATTTTCTTTCCTAATGATTTTCTTAATATTCTTTCCTCTAGCTTACTTTATTATAAGAATACAGTATCTAATACACATAAATGTGATGACTGTTTACATTATCAATAAGGCTTAATAGTCAAGAGTAGACTATTAGTAATTAAGTTTTGGGGGAGCCAAAAACTATATATGTGGTTTTTTTGACTGAGCAAGGAGTTGGTGCCCCTAACTCCTGCATTGGTCAGGTCAACTGTATATATAGGTATGTTCAGTATAGCAATATTTACAATTGCAAAAGCAGGATTTTGTTAAAATAGATTGTACTCCATTCTTAGAATTCTGTGTGATCATTAACATGATGTGTGTTATATACATATATAACATATATATTTGACACAGGAATGTTTGGATATTGTGTTCAGTGAGAAAGCAGACCACAGGACAGGTGACTGGATGTGATATTTTTGCAAAAAAGATTGTTAGCATGCTTATGCTTAAAGTCTGCAGGGATATACACAAAATAGTGAGAATATGGACGAGTTACATTTTAATCTTCTTTCTAATATACATTTGTGCTTTTTGGC